GCCCCTTCTTGGTCAATGCCCTGCTCCCCAGCAACGTCAGGGTGAGATCTGGGCTCAGTACCACCGAGGTGGTTCAGGTGCTGCTTCTACTCTCCTGCCATGTCTTTGATGTTTCTTTGATCTTTCCTTGGGAGGCAGTTCTCTGTAGGTGGCCTGAGGGGATCTCAACCACGTGTTTCTTCATGGGGCTCCAACCTCCCCTTTACCCCACCCTCACCACATCCACATCCTGGGTGGACTCTACTTACTGCAGGTCTTCCTCCTGGATGATCTTGCCTCATCCATGCCACCCACTTTGAAAGGTCAGGCCTTCCTGGCCGTCATTCCTCCCATGGCCATCCCTTGTCTTCAGACCAGCTCTTGGGCAACTAAATCTACCCCGTCCAGGGTTAACTGCAGCTTAGGAAAAACTAACTGAGAAGGGTCAACAGACTCCTGGGATTCCATCTCCTAGGGCCTTTGGTCTTGTAAGGGGGCTCATCCATCCCTCCTAGCCTAGCAGGTGTTGGGGATAGGTGGCCACCCTGTGCCGAGCCTCAGTCGGCCCTCTTGTGGCAACCTCCCTTGGGCATGGGCTCCTTCCCCTCTGGGCCCAGCTGACCTGTGGCTGGTTTGTCCTGGTCCCACCAGCCAGTGTTATTCATTCCCCTTGCATGGGGGTCCAGGATCCTCCATGCCTCCCTTGCCGCGGCACTGCCCAGGGGTGCCTGTGGTCCCTTGGGTCTGCCCCCCGCCACGGCACTTGAGCCACTGGGCAGAGCCTTGCTGCTTCTCCATGGCATCCCGGGGGGCTGCTGTTCCCCGGTAGGACTCTCTGGCTTCCATCTGTCCCCAGGACTTGTGCTCCCTAGCTTGCCTGCCGGCGTCCTCGGGCAGACGCTTAGCTTCTTTTCCCGGAGCCCGGGGCTTGTGCTTCCTGGCTCTACAGCCCACATCTTCCCGCTGGTGTTCTCCTTTTCTCCTCCCAGTGCGGGCTTAGTTGCATCCCCAGATGCCTCTTGAATAGCCTGTGCTTCTCCGAGGCCATGCCTCCCTGTGCCTGCCGATTCGCAGGCTCAGGCATCTCCAGAACTGTCAAGCGGGGGGGAGGGGGGGTCTTTTGCCTCCCCTCTATAGCCGTGTTAGCTATAGTCTGTTTTCTCAAATGCTGTCTTTTTAGAGAAGTCACAGGGTCACAAAGTGGAAAAAGAGACTTTACCTTTCACCTGAAACACTCTCCTTCAAATCTTTATATTCAGTTCACATCACAGCTGTCTCGTTCTTTTCATAGGCAGAGACATAAGGCAGGCATTAATAGCAGTTCAAAACCCCACATTTCTAAACTTTTTTCCCTGTCATATTAAATATAAATGACTTCTGATGTAACAACACTCAACTCTTTCAAGTGGATATGTTTGCCACCAAAATTAGAACCTCAGGCTTAAAAATCAGACTTTTAAGCAAAGCATCAGCATTCACTAGCTGTTCAGTGATGTACACTGCAAGGGGAGTGAGAACACCAGGCTTTAAAAAAAACACCTTATTTTTATCTACACAGCGGTTTATTTTTAGTTCTTTCCTTTAAGTTACTTTAGGATTGCAAGGTGCTTTGAAGATAAAAAGCTCAGTAAGTGCTAAGTTTAATACTCAGGAAGCCAAAATCCATTTTTCGAGAAGCTTACCAACGTACATGCTACTCATGACACTAATTATAGTGAATCGTGATATCTTATGTTTCATTTGCAGGTTAAAGTATGGACAGATCCTGCAGGCAGATCTACACAACCCTTAACACTGCACAGTGCTCTATTTCTTAAAATAGCTTCACATCTGTGCAGATCTATGGGTTTATGCACACAGATCTTGTTGCAGGATCAGGTGTTGTTTAAACACAGGAATCACTTCAGCCACACATTAGTGAAATGCAGTTCACCTGGTGGATGTGGGAAGAAGATGCAAAAGTTTCTAACAGCTGTGAACGCCCTTACAGAAATTCCCTATAAAATTCAATAGGAAATAACTATGCTTTTTCCTTATACCCTATAGCATTTAAGCGAGAATTTCATAGAATCATTTAAAAAAAAATTACCAGAAGGATACCATTTCATTTGCTACTGAATTCAACAATCTTTATGTAATTTCTATGGGATATTACTGGTTGAACCTTTACCAAATTTTGCAGAAGTTTCCCAAATGGACAAGAATTGAAGATACTATCATTATTATTCAAATAGCAGGAAAATACAGGTAGGAAGCGGGATATTAGGGATAAGATCTAAATCATCTCAAAAAAATTTTGCTGGACATTTTTTTTTTTCAAATAACCAGCAGTGCTCAAGAGAGTTCTGCCATAGCTCTGTCAGAAGTCTGCACTTTCTGTGATGGACTATATATAAAACATTTTCTTCTTGTTCAGAAATGCCATTCTAAAATGCCTTCATTATTTAAATACAAGCTTATCCTGTCCTTGTTAAGATCTCCATTTGACTAACTCAACTACGAAGAAAGAAGGCAAAGCTCTTGAAAGAGGACTAAATACAACATGTAAGCAACTAATTACACACGCAGCCTTCTTCTCCAGAGACACAGAGAAGCCAGTCATAATTTCTGCACCACTGTAAAATTACGCAGAGTAGCACCACCCAAGTCAACACATTTGCCAAGCTATCAATTTTTTCAATATACCCAAAACACAGACCTAACACAGGAATAATGAAATCATCCATATTACTGGCAAGGAGAACTCAGAGTGATGGATGCCAACATTAGGATTTTATGAGATCAAGCAAACACATCCAGCTTTCAAATTTAGTTCAGAAATGAAATTAAAATCATGCAATTGATTTAGCACCGCAGAGTAATGCCATCTTTGTTCACTTGAAATGACTTTTTCCCTATAAAATGACATTAGGTTGAGGCATTAGGTTGAGGTGCAGATCCAAATTAGGGACCTGGAACTTGCTTAACAGGCTTTCAGATGACTTTGAACACAGACTACATATAACAGGCTTCATCTACTACATCTTGAACTTCTTGAAATACATGGTCTTTGTTAGTCTGGGCTAAATGAAGAACTGTGGTGAATATGGAGCCAACTTGTAAGGTGTTGCATGCCTCTTCAACTCCTATTTGCAACAATAGAAACTAAAAACTCATTGAACTATATTGTGTCATAGAATAAGCCTCCTACATTTAAATAGGAACATACATCACCATTGTTCAGTGTTTACAGTACATGTATCTACAATAAAGACCAACCTCATCAGGGGACTCATCACGTAAGCATGTATCTTAAAACATCTCCATAAATAATTCATTACAAACACACTATCAACATTATGCATTGAGGCAGTATCAACATAAAAATAAATACTCCCCTTCACACACACACAAAATAGTTCCAAACTTGCCTATACCATTTGTAACAACACATCACCACTGAATTTATTTGGTCAATTTAGGTTTCTAAAAGCAGTGGAAAAGTTGTATAAAACTCATCCACGTACCTCACATTCCTAAAAATACAACAACACGGTAAAATTGTTATTAAACACATGCATATTTTAACATCCCACATATATTCATATTCATTCATAAAAAGGCATCTTACTGCCAAATAAATGATATGCATCAGACAAATAACAGAAGACACTAATGTTATAGTTGTTGCTATTAAGGCAGGGTGCACATTTTAGACAAGTGGGCAGGGGAATGGATGCATAATTGCAATTTAATACTAAATAATACCAATAGCACTGGCCCTTCAAAGCCTGTAACTAAATGGGATGAAACATCAGGTTACCTTCACATCTTCAGAAGAAAATTGCATTTCCTCTCTACACACATATAGCCAGTGTCTTAAACACAGAAGGTGGTGAGGTACTCTACATTCAAGCCTCCAGCCTTCAATCTGGTCTGTGCTGGTATAGGGATCCACACTCACATGTCCAGGGACTGTGGGCTTTTCTAATCTCAGGCAATTAGCAAGGTTTTAAAGCCCACCACTGTGCACAGTAAGTCGGATTCCCCAGGCACAGCTGCATTCACTGCTGAAAATTGACCGTGCCGAATTTAAGCCATCTAGTTCAATTTGGTTTGGGGCTGGAGTATGACTTCACTTCTTAATTTCTCTTCTTAAACACCAAGCCAAAAAATTTGTATTTTACAGTACAAGCATGAATAACCCCTTGTGCTATGAAAAGTAAAGGTTGATTAAAAAAGCTATTACATATATGCAATAAATTTCAGTGCTGCATCTGCAGATCTGAATTGTCACTTTAAAAAGGAATGAGCAAATTCTGGTTCTGGAGCAATCTGTTTCATTATACATTCAGCTGTTTTCTAAAGCAGCATGAAAACTTTATAACTTAAGTGGTTGTGGATGAGTTCCAAACACCTTCAGCCCTACCAGACCTGCTAACACCACAAAACCTAAATCGTAGCATGTCTTCTGTTATGGAAGTCTTTAGAAAGAGTTTTGCGTGCGTGTTTGTTTTTCTGATATATACTATATTCTGAACACAGCCTCTGCTGAAAGGTTCTTTTATTGGCAAATTTTATAGATGGAAGAGAGCTAAATGCTGAATAGGTCTAAATCCAATCCAATCCCATTATACCCACCTTGGGGCTCCTGGAAGGGCCAGGAACGTGGTGGTGGGGTGAGTGGTAGTGGCATTAACTCCTGCACCACCTTAAGCTCACTGTGGTCCTAAAGCCACAGGGGTTAACACTACTGCCACTTGCCCTGCTACTGCTGAAACGAGTCCCCAGAGGGACTCTATTTGCTGGAATTAGGTAGTGGGGTGAACATTGCCAGCATTTACTCCGTGGCTTCCTGACCCAATACAGCAGTTCAGGCACTCGTGAGACGTAACATTGCTGCTGTTCACTTCGCTATTGGAAGTGGGCCCAAATGTGACCCATGAGGAGCCCCATGATCTGATCCAGGGGAGGCCAAATGGGTTTGACCCCCTTGATGTAGAAAAGTCAGGGGGAAAAAAAATAACTAGAGACTGACTTACCAAAAATCTCCACAGATGGTTTTCTTGACTTAGTGTGGTGACATTAGATTGAAAAAACTGGGTTTTCTCCTCTAAAAATCGAATCTCATCAAATGTTTTCTGTGGCACTGAAGGCTGCAAACATGGTAAATCATTTCCAAGCTGTGAAAAGGAAGTGGGGGGAAAGAACAGGTCAGAATTTCAGCTTGTATAAACCATGCCTGTAATCGTCAAGCAACGCATAGGCCCCTTCTATAACAGAATGTGATTTATGAAGCTTTTAATAGCCTGCCTCTTCAAACATGGTTTTCAAATGATGGTTAAAAAATATCCCACGCATTAAAAGCCAAACTAAATTAATAAGTCTTCAACAATCCTTTCGAGTGTACCTAGTAACAGGATATATTTGAGAACGAAAATGTTCGCTGGCTTGACGCACTACTTCGGTTTCACTTCTATTCACCACAGAGACTGTAATTTACTGGAGGTCATCATTTAATTCATACAACATATGCTGCCATTCGTAAGTGGGATATGAGGCCTTTGAGGACACTTATTTGGAGAAACATGCAAACTCTACCAAATATACTTATTAGTGTTCCTAGCACCTTCATTTCTGGTCAGTGTTTTAAATATCCTCTATTGACAGGGTGACCATGTTATATTTAAGGAAATCCAGGGCACTGCCCCTCCCTCCCATCATCCCCTAGCCCATCCCCACCCCAGGCAGGAGGAGCAGTGCCTAGCCCAGCCCACCCCCCAACTCCAGCCGCTGCTCAGGAGGAGCCAGGCTGGGCAGTGCAGGCGGGGTGGTGCCAACCCAAGACTTTTATTCCCATTTTCACCAACCAGCTAGGACACTGGGATGGCCTATGAAATCCACAACTGTTCCAGCCAATCTGGGACATACAACCACCCTACCTATTGAAGATGTACGTTGGAAATAAGTATATAAGGGGCGTGCATCAGGAACTGGGAGAACATCTGTTCATCAGAGCACCCCCCAGGGAAGATGAGGTCTAAATGTCACAAACTGCTGGAAGACCGTTTTAGACTGGACATAAGGAAAAACTTCTTTACCATGCAAGTGTCCAGAGTCTGGAATAGACTCCCCACAGAAGTGGTGCAAGCACCTACTCTAGAGACCTTTAAGAAATGCTTGGACACTGATCTTGCTGGGGTGATCTGACCCCGGCTGACTTCCTGCCCCTTGGGCAGGGGTCTGGACCTGATGATCTTGCGAGGTCCCTTCCAGCCCTAAAGTCTATGAACCTTATGAAATACAGTACTTAGGGCCAAATCCAAGTTACCAAAATGAAAGAAAAGATTCCACCGAGCTTTGATTATGCAGGTAAGGGCACAATCCTTGCAAACTTCCTAATCAAATAAAGGATCCAGTCCTGCAGGGCCGTATTCAGACAAAAAAAAACAAAGGCACATACACCTCCAGTGCCCAATGGCTGCCCTACAGAGTGAAGTACAGTATGAACTCCATATGCACTATCCCTTAAAATTAATGTAGTACAGCCATGCTTGTGGGCACCAGGCACACACCAATAAGCTCACTTTTATGGGATGGCTTATCATAAGCACTCAGCGAAACCATAAGATTCACTGTGGTGCTCCATAGCATGGTGTCTTTTCATGGTGTAGATGTGCAAAGGAGCCTTTGGCTATCTGAAACAAGTGGGGATCCAAGTCAAATAAATGTTATTGCCACCTACAAAATAATGAGCACCAAGTACTGTCTGGGTCTTTATCAGAAGAGATTAAAAAAAAAAGAAGAAGAACAGAAAGAACAAAGTCATAATGTAGTATCCTGGTATTATATTTTAAAACAAGTCACAGTTTTGTCTAAAATTCATCTCATGGAATACAATTCATCCACTTTCATTACTCTAGGCAGACATAGCTGGGTTGTCAAGGCCTATCTGTCTGAGAAGATACAAATAGGGGTGAAAATACAGTTTATGCCCAGCAACCGCTATATGGGCTGACCCAGCTTTGCTGAAGTTATTGATAGCTGCTTAAAGCTGTATTTAAACTGCTTGTGGAGGAGGAACAGAAGAAGCCCACTTTACAAGGCTTATGGATTTTTCTGTAATTGAACTGATGAAGCAAAACAGACTTGAATACAAGGACAGGGCAGCAATATATTACTGAATGCATGCTGGAGAGAGAAAAAAAACCAGTATCAGGAGGGCTAAATCCCTTTCACAACTTCAACTTGGCATGGTACTTAAACACATAACTTTAAATATATGAGTGAATGTCTGAATCAGCCAATAGACTCATATGCTTATTCACAAGCCATCCCTTCTGTATTAAAACAAGTGAAACACCTTACATATTTTGTATTGGACTTGGAAGTTAGAGAGGGTGTCTAAAGTAAAGTACTAGGAGTATATTTTAAATTAAATTGAAAGTGTAAAAATAATATAGATTTAGTGAGAGTTTGTTCTGCACTCCTACATACTAGAAATATGATACCAAATAAAAGATAAAGAAACAGGCACACATCTGTACAGCTGTATATTGTTGTCATAAACCTTAAACTAAGCTTTCTGGAGTGAGAACAGTCTTTTCTAATATCCATATGTAGCATCCAGCGCACTTGGGCCCTGATCCATAGTTGAGGTCCCAAGGGAGCATTACAATATGCATAATAACAATAAGTTTGACACAGATACAGCACATATGTACAAATGTAAAAACAGCCATTAAATGCTAAACTAGTGGTCAATATTTCGTATAAATACTGCTCTCATAATAGTAAACAAATTACCTTCCTGTGAAGGAAGTTATACTTTTAAAAGGTTTCACAAAGGACAATCCACATAATCCATTTGTTTGTCATTTGAATCTCACTGCTACTAAATGAAAAGACTTGCAGATCTGAAGTTCTGCCTGACCTTTTCATATCTGGCATTTCAATAAACTTTATGCTGGTGCACTTTGTCAATTGGAAATATATCAAAGCCTGATTTTTAAAAAGTCATTTAATCAGTCTCTGTAAGCTGAGACCAGTATCAGATATGATCTTGATACTACTGAAGTCAGTGGGGATTTTTTGCAACTGACTTTTGCAGAAACTAGAGCAGGCCCTAACTCTTTAAAAAAACTCTTTAAAAAATTTAAACCACAAATTCTAACTCAGTTCCTCTATTAGCAGTTTCCAGGCCAATCTGACTACATGTGTGGATTTTAGAGCACTTTGAAAAATTAACTTCAAAGAGAAATGGCTTTTTAACCATGGTTGTGGCACCATCCCATGACACTTGCACAAATGTCACATTCCAAAATAAAGAAAAAAGTTTGATAGTTATATTATGTGTCTAAGTGATGTTGTGTACATTGTCTAAACTGCCTGTGTCGATCAGATGTCCCTAAAATATTTTAATTTATACTTGATAATTTTTGCTGTAATCCAAAGCATACAAAGTTCCACTTAGTACTCATTACTGCACCTACAGTGCTACCTATACGCTATTAAGATATCAGCTCCCGCCTCTGGTCTGAAAACAGTTTCAGCTTTCAGTACTCAATTGTTAAATTTTCAAGCAAGGTTTTGTGTTTTCTCCCAGATTTCCCCTTTCCTCATCCTATGAAGCTCCCCCGTAAATATCTGCATAGCTGTCCAATTGTCTTTCTTCAAATCCCTCCCTAAACCTCTCCTTTGTCTTTTAGGTCTATAAAAAACTTGAGACCAGACAGGCATCTGGTATGGCAAGATCACTGCTTTTTCAGCTGACCTGTCCTACCTGCACTGCTTCCTTTCAGTCCCTCTGCTCCTTGCATTCACCTGTTAACTCTTGCCTCATATTAAGTTCCAAGCTCTCAAGAGCAGGGGCTACCTTCTTGTCCCGACTGTACGGCTCAATGGTCTACAGCTGGAGTCCAAAGGTGTCATGAAGACAGGGAATGAAAAACTGATAGTAACGACAACACCACATAGCACAGAAAGGCTGATAATTAGAAGGCAATATTATTGATACCAGCGTAAAGAAAAAAATCTATGGCAGCTTTTAAAGGCATCTTTTTTCCCAAAGCCAAAATTTGGATTCTTTGCACAGGGCCCTTGCTCTCAGAAAACGGACAGGATATATGAACGACATGATACCTGTAAAATGTTAGGCATGACGTGAGCATTTGGAGAGAATGACAACATGCATTCATATTCCCAAATAATACAGCTCAAGAAGGAATCAAACAAACAGAAAACCCCACACAATATAAGAGTAGCACAAATAATGCCATATAAACAGCTTAGAAGATTTGGGTTTCTTATTATTACAAAATAGTATAGCTATCAGATCCGCAGACATATATCTGATTCATCAGCCTTGAACACTCAGCTTCTTGGCATCTTTAAATGTCTATACTTACATAACGTCTGACACCTTCCTTCAGAGTGAACTCTGTTTTGATGACACGCTCAACGCTGGACTTCTAGGACATGCAAATAATATTGAAAAGTGGCCCTGTGCATCCTTCCATTTCTGTTAGGTCTAGGTCTGGAAGCGTAAGACTGCTGATTTATTCATGAGTTTTCTGAGCAGGACTAGTGGCTGCTTTGTGTCAGCTGAATAGGACAGTAATTTAATCTCCAAATGGGACCTGTTTATCTGAACAATGCATTAAGGTGCGTGCTATATGCTAATGAGCGTGGGGCTCTGGAAACAAGGCACCCATTTTCACAGGAAAAAAAATGTTTTGACAGGTATTGCCATGTAGAGAGGCCAGCTTTTCCTAAAGTCCCTTCTGGAAGGGTAGCCACTTTATTTACACACAATACTTACAATCTACAACCTCCAAGGCAAAAAAAATCTTAATATATGATCTGTAAATATTTAGGGATTTGAACAAATTTATAATGCAAGAAGTCCTAATGAATTCACTGTGTTTTCTCTCCTGTGTGTGAACTTTTTTCATGTTCTCTGGTGTCTCCAGGAATGAAACCTCTGCTTGTACCGTATCGAACTTGGTTTTAAACGCTATTTCACTGCAACTGGTCAACTATACTACTTACTATTTAGACTGTAACCTCTTTGGGACAGTGACTGTATTTTTATGCTACCTCTTTACATCATTTAACATAATGGTGTCCTGGACTATTACTTGGATTCAACTTGGAAGAATAAATAACTCCACTACTATCTACT